TGGAGTTCTTTCTCTCAATTATTCTTAGCAGTCTCAATTTTTTAAATAAATAAAAGGATAAGAAATATTGCATTTAGACAAACCCTATTCAGAGGGATGATCCTATACATAGTGTTGCTAAATTCACTCTTCTATTTGCTTTATCTATCTCATTTATGGTAAATGTCCAATTTTATCCTTAAGTTAGTCTATATGTTGCTTTTTCTTAAATTATTTTTACACTTTAAGGATAAATTTGTCACTTTTTCACAAAAATGTGAATATATAAAAAAGATGAGTGGATTTAGGAACACACTTTTCATTCTTAGCTCTTAAGCAATACTCGTATAATATACTATGAGATAAATCATGATTCATGAGGCTTGAGATCATAGAAAACACTAAAATATTGGAGTTACCTAGCTTTATTTTCATGAGTTTCACTTACATGTTAAGTGTGTGTAGTATTTGTTCAATATACATTTTCAATCTTTTTTAAGCACGAAGATCGGTAGCGGGAATCGAACTCCGCATGTGAAGAAGTGATAACACTAAAACATTTATTATAAAAAGAATGGCTCGGAATTAAACAATCTCATCAAGGAATTTGGTATTTATATTGGAGATACTCTAAGTCTCTAAAAATGAAAGTGATAATCTAATTCGGAGATGATGAACAAATTACAAGTTTCACTATTTAGATTTTAGGTAAATATTATATACGATTCAACAAAGTTGAACTGGAAAAATCATTTATAGAAAAATTAAAAAACATTGTATTCAACTGTTTTAGGTAGGAAGCTAGGATTTTTTCAATCATTAATTTTGTATTCATTTTTTGTCTTTTTTTTAATTTAAAAATATACTTTTTAATTTTAAAATGCTTTTAAGAAATAAATTAACTTAATTTATTATATTAATTAAAATAGGAAGTCTAAAATGCCACTAGTGTTATTAGATGGTGTCATTTGCTTACACTAATTTGTTTGAGAGACTTATGGTGTCCCATTAGTAAAATATATTGATGGTTTCTACCTCTTTAACCTCCCTAAACCTCCAATTGTAACCCAATATAACCCTTACCCCCCACCCCTGTCCCTCCCTACCCTGGCAATATATTGCATGCCTAGCACTCTGGCAGTGTACTGCCAGGGTAGGGAGAGGGTAGAGTGGGGCAGGGGGAGGGGTGGGGCAGGAGTGGGATTTAGGGTGGAAGTTAGAGAGATAGGAACCATTTTTTATCACTGTGACATTGTAGGTGTCTCAAATAAACTTATGTTACCAACTGATATATAATTAACTAGTGTTATTTTAGATATTCTTGAGTTAAAAATATGTAAATAGAATGAATTTGCGACTTAGTGTGTGAGAGAAGTACACCATTAAAAATAGAAGAAAAAGCATGCAATTATGCAAAATCATTGAGTGGTACGTGGAAAGCTAAGAAATAAGACAAATTTTACAGTGGACCTAATTAAGGTCCACCAAGGTTCACCCTGTACCTACACACACTTATGAGCAAAATAAATATTTTTTACTATTTAATTAAGTATTTATTTTTTAAACAAAAAAATTATTATGTGAAAAGGTCTATAAAAATAATATGTACTCAAGGTGCACTAAAAAAGATTTCAAGAAATAAAGTGAGAAAAATAAGTGAAGAATATGTAACATTAAAAATAAGTGAGAAAAATAAGAAAGCGAGAAAAATCACTAAAAATGCTCTAATGAGCACCTTCTAAATTGAAGAATATTAATGTTGTCGATCACCTAAAGTTATTTAACTTCAGTGCTTTATTTCATCAACATGCCCATTGCCCATTATAGAGCATGCTAGCATACTTTCTGAGAATTCATATTGAGTATTTTCAAGTAATATTTTTTTGTTTGTAATTAATCCTCCATTTACACTATGGTTGGTTCAAAGAATTTGAAAGAAAAAAGAAAAAAATGGAAAACAATTTTTCTTGTTTGGTTAGAGAGGAAAAGAAAGGAAAATATGGAAGGAAAAGAAAATGAGAAGGCAAAATGTACCAAGTGGAGGAAAAACCAAATTATTTCCATTTTGGTGACGAAAATGAAAGAAAATCATTTTATTTTCTTTTCCTTCCAAATAACCAAACATAGTGTTAGAGTTTAGATTATAATATTTGATTCAAGTTATTTATAATTAATTTATTTAACTATTGATGTAAAATTAAAAATTTCAACTTATACAAAATACGGAGCATACAAAGAAAAAAGTGTAGTTTGACTTGTGTCAATAGTTATGAAAAAAAGATGTCTAAAAAAATAGTTAAAAAAAGAAAGAAAAAGGATAGGAATTATAACTTGAAACGGTGAAAACGTCAATTACAAATATATAAAACCAAGAAGGGGTTACATAACGGACTCCGTGGCCCAATGGATAAGGCGCTGGTCTACGAAACCAGAGATTCTGGGTTCGATCCCCAGCGGAGTCGATCGGCTTTTCTTTTTTGGCGCACAGTAAACATATTGACAGTTTCATTAGGCAGTATATTTTCATTTTTGAAAGTTATCTTTCCATAATAAAATTAAGTAAGTTTATCATTAATTATTCGAAAAATTATCTCAAATAATCCTACCTTTACGCGCTCTTTTAAAAATAATCTCACTTTTCACTGTCACCGGAAATAATCCCACCTTTTCGCATGTGTGCGAGTTTTGGGTCACCATTAAAAAACTAACGGCCACTTAACGGAAGTTTTTGAAAATGCCTGTTTTTTGCAAATAAATGAAAGGTGGGATTATTTTAGAAAAATTTACTTTTTACTTTTTTAGTTTTGAATTTAAAATTAATATTTTTAAAAATATAACAATACACTCTTGTTAGAGATTTGTCTAACGATTAACAAATTTTGTTAATTGTTTTGGGAAAATATAGTATTGAATTATCAAAAATAATTCAGAGTATCGATCAAGAAAGAAATTACAATAAAAAAATTGTAGTGATTTATAAAATTTATGGGTTCCGTTTCGGAGAAAAAAAATATTGTGTCATTTTCACAACTTTTGAATTACTATTTTGGGGAAAAAATTTGTATTGAATTATTAAAAAAATCACAAATTGGGTAGTTCCATTTTAGAAAGAAAATTTTATTGCAATATAAGATTATCAATAAATATTTCAGAGTGTTCATGGAAAAATTGCAATACATCAGAAAATGTAGTGAGTTATAAAAATAAAAGTTCTATTTTAGAGAAAAAAATTGTTGTGTTCTTTTCACAACTATTGTAATGTTGTTTCACAAAAAATATTTATATAGAACTATCGAAAAATATACATAAATTTTGTAGTGCCATTTTTTTAAAAATAATAATAATGTAGTATTAAAAAATAATTTGAAGTACAGCTCAAAAAAATACAATAAATGCAACTTACAAAAAAATGTACTCCCTCCGTTATCAAAAACACTTCCTCTTTCATTTTTTTCTCTTCTAACAAAACACTTCCACTTTCTATTAAAAACCCACTTTTACCCTTCCATCATACTTTATCTCTAATAATCTATCCATCACATCTTACTTTTACCTATTGGCAAAATTGGAAGTCAACTACAATTTAATACTTCCTTATTTTTACACAAAGTCAAAAGATGAACACTTTTTTCAAACGGAGGGAGTAGTTAGTTATGAAGTTAATAAATTAGCTCTATTGTGTAGAATAATTTTTTTTCTAATTATTACCATATTATTGGTTATTGAAAAAAACAATTAGTTTCACTCTAAAAACACTTAAATTTGGTATTTTTTTCCAAAAAAATAAAATAAAAATACATTTAAAGAAATTAAAAAACGAAAAAGGGAGAATTTACCTAAAACAATCTCATCTTTCATTTATTTGCGAAAAACGGGCATTTTTCAAAATTTCCGTTAAGTGACCGTTAGTTTTTTAACGGCGACCCAAAACTCGCACATATGCGGGAAGGTGGTATTATTTCTGGTGAGAGTGAAAAGTAGAATTATTTTTTAAAGAGCATTAAAAGGCGGGATTATTTGAGATAATTTTTCCTTAATTATTTTCTAGAACTTTTGAAATACTATTCAAATATATGCCTCGTAAATTTTATTTTTTAAATTTTCTCCCCGATATTTGAATTAGTTAAATTGAAAATGCTTTCGTTTAAACATTATCATCCGAAACAAGAAGGTTATTCAAGGACGGAAAGAGTATAATGATAAAGCGTGTAGGGGTGGGTAAGTATCAAATCGATCCCGAAATTTCCTGAAAAAAAGAGATTACCGAACCGAAAAATACCAAACTGATAAAATACCGAAAAAGAATCGTACCAAACCAAATGATCGGTCCGGTATTTTGGATTGGTACGAGATAACTTCCCATATCGAAAAATCCCGAATCGAACATATATTCAAATATGTTTTAAAAATAACAATATTTTTATATTTTTTCATTAAAAAATAAATTAATTTTAAAAAGTTGATTCAAGTTTTTTTATAAAAAAATATCCTTGAATAGGAGTAAAAAAGTATGAAAATGCTAAAATAGGAGTCCAATGTCTTTGAATAGAAGTAAAAAAGTATGAAAATGTAACGCCACGAAAACCGGTCTAAAAAATTAAATAATAAAAATACCGAAATTCAAGCGTGTGGGCCCCGAAGGCCTGAAAAATGAAAATTTTAAGAAAAATATTTTAAGTATGTCGTTAGACTCCATTTATTTTTCCGAGTTCAAAAACGTGATTGGTTTCGAAATCGGACTCCGTTTGGAAAAACAACCTGAAATTCAAACAGATAAACTATTTCTTCCGGAACAAGAATTTCAACCCAAACCTACATTCATTCCCCTTCAATCTCCAGGATTCCCAATCACTCCTAACAATTATACTCATCCCATCATCCCCATCCCACACATCATCTTGTTCCCAACCCACTCAACACACACCCACCTTCCTCTCTCATCATTTTTGGACTATGGTGATGGTGGGGCGTGTGTGAGATGACCCAAAGGGCATCTCTAATTTTTGAATAAAAGGAGACCACCTCTCTTCACTCATTCACACTCCCACACTTTGAAAAAAAATCCCTGCAACTTTGGTCATCTTCATCCTCTAGCTTCATCCACCATTAATGGAGGTTTGAGAAGCTAATATTAGGTAAGTGAGTGTACTTCATTCTTATCGTTATTATACTCATTTTAACACCCTTCTTACACCCTATACCTCTGCAATATCAAGGTGTGAAGAGAAGACCTCAAGATACGGAAAGCTAGAAGTAGATAGTAACGGCCGTTCGTTGAACGTACGTGATGTGTAGGATCATTGTTTCCCCTACGAGCTCTAAGGTCTGTACCCCAGACTTGTTCCGATGTTAGTTTCCTTAGAATCATTCATAATACATGAATTCATATACATACATGTCATTTTATGTTAGTCATACCAATAGTCCCGATAAAACGCTCAACTTGATACCCATGAATCGTCGGTGACGGAGAATGCCCAAAATTGTGCCAAAAATGTTCCTACACAACTTAGAGATTCAAAGTAGAATATATATTCAATATATACACTTTTGGAGCCATCCCGTAGCTTAAAACGAACCCAAAAGCACATAGGATCCGTTAGGGGATCGATCCCCGGCGCTGGATCGATCACCCGACGATGGAAAAGAGTCCCAGAACCCGTTCTTAAGGTTCGGGGGATCGATCCAAGCCTCTGGATCAATCCTCTGGGGTAAATATTACTAAAACGTAGTTTTTCTTGATTCGGGGGATCGATCACCCCTTCGGGGATCGATCACCCGACGCCCCAACTTAGATTTGAATCGTTTTTCGATGTCGTATGGATGATAAATATTTGGTATTTGTTTGATTGATTTATAACCATATTTTAACTTCCAAAAACACTAAAAATGAATGTTTTTTTACTAGAAAAAAAACTCTAATACCAAAATTGATTCGATCACCCCTTGGGGATCGATCACCTGACGTTCCAACTCAAATTTTAGCCGTTTTTTGATATTGTATGGATGATAAATGTTTGATATTTGTTTGATTGACTTATAACCATGTTTTAAACTCCAAAAATACTTAAAATAAATGTTTTGAGAACATAAGAACCCTAACACCAAAATTGATTATGTCAACCCTTATTTTCCAAGATGTATTATTAACCAAACGATATCATCGGACGGGTTAGACTAAAAGAATCATAGTACTATACTATGTGGGTTAGACTTGGGTTGCTAACATGATTCAAACCATGAACATGACTAAATGATGTCTAATGATTAAAAGGACATTATGGACGATATTATATTAGAGACTTTATGGTAAAACATTATATGCTCGAATCCGTAAAAGTGATGATTTTGATGGCGACACTAATAACCAAAAAGGTATTTTTGGATAGTTTAAATCCAGATTATTTTTAGTGGTAAATAGTATGGATCTGAGTGTATAGATGTGGGCGATATTAGGAGTTGCGTATGTACGTACATAAGGTCCTAGAACCGGTTAGGCGCCCGTGGATCACTCAACACGTGCATCCGGAACTAGAAGAGTATTTATACCCAGACTGGAAAGGCCACGGAACAAATTCTGAACCTGAAGAGAAGGGCGCTCGGACCTAGACTTAGACAGGGGAAGTCTTATTGAGTCCAAAATAAGACTTTCATGTTTTTTTTCCGAAATAAGACTTTGCACTGTGGTAATGTGGCAGTGTACATGTACACATTATTATACTTTTTTTGTAACGTATATGACCATGTTTGGTAATGTAAGTCCTATTTCGGGAATAAAAACATGGAAGTTCTATTTTGGTATATTTTCAATGTTTTAGTCATACTTTGATCTTTCTCCCATTAAATTTTAGTACTTCCTCGGTCACCAAAAGATTGCCACTCTTTGATTTTTTAGTCAAATTGGGACACCTTTTGACAAGAAATTAAATATAGTTTAAAATAATTAAATATTATAAAAATTTGATATTTCAAAAATATATTTTAAAATAAACCTAATTGTACTAAATTTATATTATAACTAAATATATATTTTTTCCATAATTTGTAGTCAAAACATTGCACAATTTGACCGAAAAGTCAAACTGTTGTAATCGTTTTGAGACGGAGGGAGTAAAAATTATAAAAGAAACTCTCTCTATTCCAATTTTGATTAGAATTTTTTTTCTCCTCTCGATATTTTTTTATTTGTGTATTTTCATTGATTATTTAATAAAATAAAATATTCTTGTAGAAATTTTAATATAATTTTTATTTTTTATTGATGTAACAATTTATAAATAAAATAATTTTAAAAAATACTCCCTCCGTCCCTCATAGATCTTCTCAATAGCCCTTTTTCTTTGTCCACAATAGATCTTCTCATTTCATTTTTTAACAATTAAAATACCACAACTACCCCCACTTACTTTATTTATTACACCTCACCCACCTCATTTAATACACTCCACCCATTTTTCATTAAGGATATTATGGTAAACTTTCACCTTTTTTCAACTCTCCTTAAAAATTATCAAAAGTCAAAATGAGAACATCTTAGGGGGACGGAGAGAGTATATAATTACCTCATAAATTTGGACGGAGTATAAAAATCAAAAAAGCCAAGGGCCCTCCACGAATCCACGTCCGAGATCTAAACTCTATCTGAGATTCTGAGTCGGATGAAGTAATTACGGACTGTTATCCAAATACGTACATTCCCAAACGCATTCCCCGCCACACACAAAGAAAAAGTACCCAAATTCACAATTTGTCATTCAAATAACGGCATCCAAACATCAGAATCCGGCACCACCGCTCAAGAGGCTTCGCCGCCGCGCATCTTTCTCTTCTCATCACCCACACACACTGTATAGCACTCTCTTCTCTTCTCTAATGGCGTTTCAAGTTCAAGGCGATAGGGCGGGAGTAAACCTTGTAATGTTGAATTCTTCGCGCTGGTCCACCAATCAGTTTGTGACCTGCGTCTCTGCGGATCGCGGATTCAAGCCCAGGACCTCGAAATCGGGAGGAGGACGGCTGAAATTGACTGTGAAGGCGAGCTCGGAATCGACCTCCACGCCTACGGAAACCACTACTCCGTCGTTTGGTAAGGTGACGGAGGTCAACAAAGATACCTTCTGGCCTATTATTGAAGCCGCCGGTGATAAACCGGTTGTGGTCGACATGTATACTCAGTGGTAGCTCTGCCATCCTTCTATCATTTATGTTTCCTTGCAAGTTATTATTGCTGATGGATTTGAGAAATTGTGTTCTGATTTTCAACATTTGAGAAATGGTATTATAGAACTCTTTAGTTAGATTTGATTTTCAACAAATTTTTTTGATGTAGAGCCCGAATTGCATTCGCGTGAGAGGCTAGTTACAATATAAACCATTTTTCTTGGTCCTCTAACAAAAAATTTGAAGTTTTGTTATGACAGTTATATATATGAATGAATAAACAAAGAGTGGAGCTTACGTTAGGCGAGCTTGAATAGTTTGAGCTGAACTGAGATCGAGTTTCAAAATAGAGCTTGATCACGCTCAAGCTGAGGCTCAATATTTCAGTTGAGCTAAGCTTCAAGGTTAAGCTATTTGGGATTGACTAGATTACACCACAAGATCATACCTAAATCTAGCCTAATCTCTATTAATCTTTGACTAGTTTACAACACTTTTTACAAAAGTTGGTATAATGAATTGCTATTTTGAAGGGAAAAAACTTGGATCTGGTTTTGGTATGATGTATAGGTGTGGTCCTTGCAAGGTCATGGCTCCCAAGTTTGAAGAAATGTCTGCAAAGTACCTTGATGTTGTCTTTCTAAAGTTGGATTGCAACCAAGAAAACAAGGTAGGTTGTTGGTGTTCTAATATTGAGCGCTCATCCCTCCACCTCACATTCCTTTTCTCCCCTCTCATATTGTGGGTTTGTGAATTTGGCAGCCATTGGCAATGGAGCTGGGCGTAAGGGTTGTTCCCACTTTCAAGGTTCTCAAGTATGGCAAGATTGTCCAAGAGGTGACCGGAGCCAAGCTAGATGACTTAGTGGCGGCCATCGAGTCGGCGCGGTCAAGTTAGAATTCTTCCCTTGTTTGCATTGCCCTATTTTGTGAATAATGCAATCAATCAAGTGGCATGGATATAATAATGTAACAACAATAATATTAATAATATTGTTGTTCTCCTTTTATGTATGTAATTAATAATCCAGTAGGATCCCTTCGTATATTTGTGTCCTTTTTATTTCTTAGTAATCACAAATCCCCCGCTTGAATCTAAGGTCATAAACCTCTCACTCGTATAGTTTCTTTTTCCCAAGATCTTAAAAATATCAAGGACACAAAAATGACGCAAAGTTTGGTATGATTCAATGAAAATTTGGGGCTTAGTTCACTCGAAAAAAGTTCAATAACTGAAAAATAATGTCATGAAAATGTCTTCATTTACCATTATTTGTATGTCAAATTATCAACAATGTTTGAAAAAGGTTGAGTTTTAAAGGTTGAGTAAAAACTTATGCTTTAATACAATTTATTTTGTGTGCTGTAGATCTCACCTTACCCTTTGGCACTGTCCTTATTTTATGTATGTATACTCAACAAATGATATTTTTTTGTTGCCATGTTTAACCATATAAAATTATTGCTTTATATGGAAACATGTTTCCCCATTTGAAGGCAAGTAAATCCTTGGTAGAGAGTTAGATTTGGATTCTATTGAATTTTCCTCTCAAGGAAAGTGAATCCTTATTTTAAATTACTGTAGTGAATCTATCAGCTAAGAACATCTACAAAGTTGTGTATCTTTTTATGTATGTAATGTAATTATGTTTAGTAAAGGGGATTTTGGCTAAGGAAGTTGTAATTAAGAATAAAGAGTTACGGAACTGTGCATAAAGATAACGGCCTCTTTATATAAACATATAATTGATCTACTAATTCACAAACATCCTAAACTAAACATAATTACATTGTATACATTAGAAGATGAAGAAAAATGAGCAATCATTGTTTGTTCCTTCAATGTTTGTGCAATCTATTCACTTCTAATCCTAATTTAGGTTCTGAAATGATTCTTTCCCTTCTTTGCCATGTAATATGACCGTTCCACCCCTCCGCTTCTTATGTAGCAAGTTTCAAACTCGAGAGCTCTCTATCTCAATCCATCTGATTTGGCTTTTCATCTTCAATGTCAACACCAGTTTTCATCTGGAGCTACTTGCCATTACCCTGCAGTTTACTTAGCTGCACCTTTGCTTCTTTTAACATACTGCAAACCTCTTCATTTTCAGGCAACTCTTTTACTAATACCTCGCAATCTTGAATACAGGCTTCCAACTTCCCCATCTATCAATCAAACCAAAATGTTCAAAAAGGAGTTATTTCCAAGATTATAATTGTTAGATTGAGCTTAATTTTCCTAAAAAATCATGAAGAGATCTGATATATCTCACAAATATAAAAACACTCAAATTCAATAGACAGCCTGTGTATGACACACATCACACCTTTCTAGCTCAGTCTGGATTGGACAAATGAACCTAACGACCCTAGATCAATCCATAATCTGGCTTCCCCGAACCATCCAGTAGGGCAGATGCCTACAAACTGCCATTAGACTAATCATAAAAAAGTCAAATTAACTTGTACTAGTTAATTTGGTAGTCTGTTTTGGCTTTTACGGTTTATCGGCATTATAATTACCGAGTAGCTTTTGACGAAGTTATTTGGCTAAAATGGATGTCACCAAATCGGTCTTACGAAACGGATTCCTAAATACCATTCTGAAGCACAATAGACAACCTATGATGATGATGATGAGATACTCTGCAAAAACTATTGAAATTGCTTAGTCTAGGGCACTAGGCTGAGAGAGTAAGTAAAGCCTGCCAACCTTGAAGAGACAATCACATCTCCTAAGTCTAGCCTTGGTGAAAGATGGTCTGAAAGTAAGTGCAGCATTGCAGTCCTCGAATGCTTTCTCGTACTGCTCAAGCTTTATCCAGCAGGCAGCTCGGTTGGACAACAAGACAGCATTGTAGGGATCATGGTCAAGTCCATCCCCATAAGCAATGCATGCTTCTGAAAACCTCCCGCCTTTGAAAAGTTCATTACCCTTTGATCTCGCACTCGCCACCGCCCGCATCTTCATAGCCACTATGCTTGCTTCCTTGTTGTTTGAGTCTAGCCGGGCTGCATTTTCCGCTGCCTCCCTCGCTTCGTCCACCCTGCAGAACAAACAAAAAATGTTTGCTGCTGTTCAGACCAGATTGATTGCATGTGGAAGAACAGAGGCAACAACAGCCTTGTTCTTGTTTTGATCTTGCATTTAGTACTGTATTTTAACCTTCCAGCAGCCATGTTGACTTGAGCTTGTATGACCAGGAGGGCTGCATTACCAACAGGACCAAGAAACTTGGTGCATTCATCAACGCTGAATTTTGGGGCCTTCTTCATTGTTTCGTCTGCATCATGGTACCTATGGAGCCGTATCAGTGCCTCGGCTTTCAACGCAAATATCTGGACGATCAACAAAATCACCCCAATAAATATTGAAGAGAGTGTCAAGGAACCAACTCAACCAAAAGATCAAGCTTGTGGTCGTGGCCGAGAAAAGTTTTTTTTTATACTCTAACAGAGAGAATTTGATTGACAAAGGAATGGCTTGGTTCGTTGGGTACTTAGGTGTCTGTATGTACCTGGGGTGCAGAATCGGCACCAGCTGATATTGCCAGCCCACTTTCTTTAACGAGGCTGTTCCAATCTCTTTGCTTCTTCGCCTCCGTGCACTTGGAGAGATGAAGTTGAAGATTTCTAGCCTTGGTCATCACATCAGGATCTCCTTCTTGCCCTGCTCGTTTGTAATGATACATTGCAGTTTCTGCTTCTCCCAATCTGAACAAATATAGAAATAAGAAACCAAGACATGAAGCGTAAGTAGTTCTACTTGGTTTTTTGAAAACGATGAACCCAAATTCCCAATTGTTCCTCCACCAAAAAAGAAAAGTCTTTTAACTGCATTACCTGAGATATAGGGTGGCGAGACGGTTATGAGCTCTTTGATAATGGGGTTCGATCCGGATTGCTTCCCTGCATTCAAAAACAGCTTCAAGAAGTCTTCCCAGAGCAGAGAGAGCAGCAGATTTGTTGCTCCGGTAAGAAGCCTTATTGGGATCAATGGAGATTGCCGCTTCATACAAAGCCAAGGCTTCTGCAAACCTCCCGTTCTTGTAATCCTCGTTCCCCAATATTTTCAACTCCTCTGGGTCCATCCGCGTCGATATAGCTCTACAAAGTGAGGCAGCAGCAGCAGCAGGTTTCTTCTCTGCCACACCCCCTTCTTCATCACGTCTTTCTTGTTTGTTTACCAAATTGCCCTTCACACCATACTTCCCGGGCTGTCTCTCTTCCTCTCCATTGTTACTGCTCCCGGTCTGTCTCACATTCCCCAGACTCCCAAATGACATAACATTCCCCGCCGCCGACCTCTGGTTATCCAAGATCATGTTCTCTAGCTCCCCTGATATCCCTGTTGCCCCCTGGGGAACCTTCCTGCTGCTATTATATTTCTCATTCCCAACATTGGGTGTTCTCTTGCTGTTTGCGTGAATTTGCTGATGAACGGGTGGGGTCTGATTCTGCGAAGAAACTTTGGGTGGGGTCTGATTCTGCGAATGGTTGGGGCCTGGACGGGCGATGATTCGGTCAGCAGGGGAGGATTGTTTCTGGGCAATGTCTGGACCGTCCCAATAGTAGGTCTTGGGGGAGTTGGGAGTGCTGGGAACTCTGGGGACATTATTGGGATTCTGCATTTGAAGTGAGCCGGTGGAGGTTGATCTTCTCGGCCATATGCTCCTCCTCCCAAACACCGCGTTTAACAGCCCACAACCCGATCTTTTCTCAGGAGACATGTCTCCCATTTCCGATCAGATTGTGTTAATAAGGCGGGGCTTCAATTCCCAGAGGCCGGCCTTCTTTCAGGAAATAGCCGGTACCCTCCGCCGGAAGGTGTGGCAATCATCAAGAACAAGGCAATGTGTGTTGTTTCCTTTATGAGATTTCACACGGAAAAAAGGGTGGAACAGTTTAAAGGATGAATCTTTCTTTCTTTTTATTTATTTATTTTTTTTTATTTTTAAATATCTTGGATTTTTGCTGGGTTGATTTTTCCTTAATTGTTGTATGTGTGGATCATGTGGGAAAGCTGGAGTCCCGGTGATGGAGAAATTGAGACCATCTACCTATTTTAGAGGAAGGGAGGGAATAAAATGGAAATTCAAGTTTGCTTGCATGCAGGCAAAATTATCCGATTAATTAGGGCACACTTTTTCGCCTACTTTAGTCTCTTCATATCCCACAAAAAAAATCTTATTTGTGAATTTTTATATTTCACTGAAGTTACTTTTAATTAAATTTATTTGAAATTTGGTGTTAAATCTCTCCCTCTTAGATCATGTTTTTTACACTTGTAAACAAACATTTAGTTTTTTCTGATTCCTTTTAGTATTTTTCAATCCTTTCCTGTTTCTTTGAACTTTTTCATTTTCTACTAATTACTAAAAAAATATTTAGGTGTGTTTTACATAATATTCTAATTATAATTGCAATTTTATTATTATTATTATTATTATTATCATCATCATCATCATCATCATTATTATTATCATTATGTTCATAGTTAACATTATCCTAATCAATCTATATTAAAATGTAAAAATAATGCAATTTCATAATTTATACAAAAAATATTTCATACCGCAAAATAAATTTTAATTTGCACAGTATGTATGAGTTCATGATAATATGTTTAATTGTTTTGATAAAACAGGATGAACCCAATCTCTGAGGACTCCTCAGCACTTGCTAGACGATAACCTGAGAGGGATAAATTAGATTTTAACAATAGATTGTTGGCAAATTGTGGATTCTACACCTAGTATTTGAAGAGACTATGGGCCTGTTTGGTAATAGCTTTAGCGATTAGCGTTAACGTTTTGGAAAGGCTATCGACGAACAGCGTTTAGCGTTAGCGTTTTCAAAGTAATCTGCACCGTTAAAATTTTGTCTAAAATGCTAAGGCTGATCTCTAATGCTATTCCCAAACATGTCCTGTATGCTTAACATAGTCATTTCTCAACGCAATAGTCAGAAATCAAAATCAGATATTACCTCTTGATACTTCTTGCCCTTCCAATTGCGCAATGCCCACCAGTGTTTGATTGCTTTGATTTAAATAAAGGGAGAGCACATTGAATAAGTGTTAAAAACTGAAACAATCAAAATAAGAGTTCTTTTGACCTTTAAACTATCATAATTACAAGTTCATGACCTAATGTCCTTGAGTTCAAGTCGACCAATAGGTTATGCACATTACTTTTACTATATTTAAATTTATACAACAGTTGCATTTTACACTAAAAATAATAATAAAATATCAAAATACATATACCAAAGCTATTAGAATATTTTTTTGAATTTTAATTTACTTTAATATATTGCAATTTTAAAAAAAAATCTACTACCTCCATCCCATTTTATAACGCCTGTTTCGGTTTACGATGTTTGACTGAAATTATTTTCAAATCATTTTATATGAAAAATGGTATAGAATTAAAAAATAAAAATTACATATTAAAAAACTACATCAAAAGATCTACAAAACTAGTAGTGACAAGAATATTTTATTTTATTAAATTGCTAACGAAAATAGAGAAAGAAAGTGAATGAAGTTTGATCCTGTGAATAGTAAACAGACATTATAATTTGGGACGGAGGTAGTATAAGATAACTATATGATATCATTAAAAACACATTTGAAAATATACCATTATATACTAAAGATAATTAATAAGAAAAAAAGAACACATCCTTATATTTATTACTCTATTTTTCGTACCCCTCTGTCCCAAATTTGATTACCAATTGAGATTTACGAGGTAAAACTCTGTATCTTTTGAAATCATTTTATTTACAAATTATTACATCAATAAAAAATAACATATTAAAAAACTACGTCAAAAATTCTACTCGGAGTACCAAATAAGAGGTGATAAAAATATTTTATTTTATCAAATAATTAATGAAAATACACAAAAAAACTTATCGAGAAAAGAAAAAAATGTAATCAAAATTGGGAAGAAGAGAGTATTAAAGTATAGAATTTCGAAAGATTGAGTATTGGCTAGTGAGTAGATCAGATCGGATTGTTCGATCATCAAAATCTTTGTTCAAAACTTAGTATTTTCAAATCGAATCTTAAGCAAAAAATAGGTCAAATCAATTTTTGTCAGGGCTAGTGCATCTATTTTGAACCTATGATTTGAAAATAAATGATCATCATCCCGCCTATACGCATTTATTTACCTGCCTATATTGATGTCCGTCGTAGACCTTAAATCCACCTAGAATTTACCGTTTAACTTTTTAGTTATCCACATACCATTTTCAATATAGAAATGATAATAAATTATCTAAAATATTCAAGAACTAATTTGCACCACCCTATTTTTTTGCACCTCACAAACACAACTCATTTGTGCCACTCAAACAAATAGACTGTGCTAAAGACGACAACTCATTTGTGTCGCTCAAACAAATATTGTCTGTGCTTAAGACGAATTATGTCTGTAAAGTGGAAAATGAGATGGCGTAAATTTGGTCACAGTTTTGGTGAACAAATACGGAATATATTAATGTTTAATCCATTTATCTAACCCACATAAGGGTTCAAGAGAGCACCCTCTTAAGATGAGTAATCTCCGCCTGGTGGCGTAGCCCGGGCCCGGCTGATATAGAGGGGTGCAGAAAAGGTAATGCCCAGCTTTGACTCCTGACTACAACACTAAGGGCAACCATACGGAGTATGAAGTATATCAGCATATTTTCGTGAGATCATATGGGCNAGTGTTGCTTAATGGGGAGGGAGAGACGGCAGGGTGCGCAATGGGAGTAAGGGGAAAGGATTGCGCAATGGGGAGGTGAATTCAATGTCTTTTCTTAATGCCAAAAACAGGCTTTTAACTTGAGCCCTTTGAAAAAATATGGGAGGCTAAGACTTAAAGTTGATTGTGGGGAATGAAGTGAGCAAATGGATTGAAACTGCTAAAACAAAAATCACACATTTGGTTTTCTTTAGTCTACAAGCCCCACCCTAATGCTGTTGAATGGCATTGGTCTCCTTCCCTGTCTCCCTCTCAATTTCGTCCGCGAGAAGCTCTGCACTGTACTCCACTCCAAAACATCTCACCACTTCCATTTTCAGATTCAACAAATACCTACCAATGATAATTTCACAATGTGCCATTGATAAATTCTATACTTAAAGATGGTTACAGCCATCACATTAGGTAAGTAAGCAATGCGAGTTAACAGCGAGAGATCAATGAAGAAGAATAGGAGCCAAGGCTTACGTGTTCTCAGAAGATTCGACCAGATAATCATCTTCTTCTTCATCAACTTTCTTAAAGAACACTCTGTATTCTTGTGTTATCTGCCTGACTGCAGAGGCTGGTCCAGTCAATCCCACTATTCTTGGATCGAACTCTGCAGGAACACAGGGACATTACTGGAACACTAAATAAACTAATTAAATCACACACTTCGAGGGGGGTTTGTGTTCTGGTTTTATTATGCATTTTCAGAAGACACATAAAAAACAGCTTGAAAAAATCTTACCTCGAAGATACGCACGAAGTTGAGAAGGGGTATCACGCTGAGGATCAATGGTAACAAATACTGGAAGAATCTTAACATCCGGTTTTGATCCTTCTACACAATGCAGCAAAAGTGTTAAGGAAAGGAATATATGTGGAAATATACCTTGGCATATATTTCAGCATATACTCCGTATTATTTATGATGTAATATTTGTTTCCTTGTATAGTACTGTTTCCTTTTTTGAGTTCTGAGCTTGTTGAGACTCTTCCTATATATATTCATCTTTGGTATATGGTTGAGACAGAAATCAAAACAAAGAGTTTTTCAATCCATTTTAAGAGTATATTTTCTTTAACTTATTTATAATGTCTTCAGATAATTCAACCAAATCAGCCGTTTTATCCACAATTCCATCAGATTCGGCCATTTTCAGCCTTGCCAAACAGGCTCTAAGATTCACATCTTTCAGCTCAACTTTAGTACCTAGTATGTCAATGGTTCTCACCATCTTCCGGACTTCAGCTGGTCCAACTTCAGGAGAATGTGTGTAACCGAAATAGAGAAGAACCCAGTTTCCCAGGAAGCTCTGCTCAGTTACTGGTTTGCCCTCCTCATTAATTAAACTGAACCGGCGACCAATGATTGGCCCTTGATTTGTACTTTCGAACTTTACGCCCTGACCTGAAACAATGAAAATGGTAAAGATTTACTTAATATAGCATCTCATAGCTTATGCATTGCTCCATTTGTATTTTGTCCCATAAAAGGAGTCATGTTTCACAAATGTACAACTTTTTTTTATGTTCTCTAAGTGCAAGTGTCATCATAAAATTGCTTTGTTGAACAACACCTTTAGGGATTGCTCTCCGTTCATCATTGTAATGTAAAATAAGAACTAATCCTCCAACTCCACCTAAAAGAGCCCCAGGCTGCAACAAGTAGAACTAAAATGAGACTAAAAGAAAATAATATAATGGAAATCGCGTGCCACAAAGAGTAATTCAAAGAGAACTGGAAATGAAGTTCAAGTAAAGGTTCCATACTAATGCATATGATCTCCATGAACCTGAGGCTGAACTCCGGGGTTGACCAGACAACATAGGAGCATCTTTCTGTCCGTTTGACTTCTTATAACTGGTAGAGTGGAATCTTCCGTAGACACAAAATGTATATGAGCAAGCTACTTGAAAACATTTTTTTAAATAGTCATTTATGGTGTTCTTCTTCAATCACTAGCTTCACAACTGATGCAAGAGTATTCTAAAATTTGAATTCTTTAAATTTAAGTGTTAGACGACACTCAGGGTCCGTTTGGTATACGGAATTGACGGAATTGGAATTGAATTAGAATTAAAATTGCATTGGATTCAATTCCATAGAATTGAATTCTACCAATTCCTATTCATTTTTTGCACTATCAATTCCAAATCAACATAATTTTTGTGCCTCCAAACATCAGAATTAGAATTGAAGTCCTCAATTCCAATTCCATAATTTGAATTCCGTGTACCAAACGGGGCCTCACTTCTTGAGATTTTTTTTTTGGATTTGAGTTTTGCCCAATACTAATCCTTCACAATTTTTTACTCTTGGGCATCTGCCTCTATCTCTAAGTTTACAGCCCTACAAGATCTGGTTTCAGCCTAAAGATAACCTGCTTAATTAGGTCAATCGAACGCTCAAAAAATCGCATAAAATGCACCCTTTTTGTGCTTTCTAATCTTTAAGAATCAAGAATGAGGTTTCCCTTCACTTAAAATTCTTTTCATTTATGCCCCCAAAATTAGATTTTGCACATCACTCATAGCTGAATTACTATTAGGATCCGTTTGGTATACGGAATTGATGGAATTGGAATTGAATTGGAATTGAAATTCCATGGGATTCAATTCCATAGAATTGAATTCTGATAATTCCAATTCATTTTTTGCACTATCAATTCCAAATCCACATAATTTTTGTGCTACCAAACACCAGAATTGGAATTGAAGTCCTCAATTTCAATTCCATAGTTTGAATTCCGTGTACCAAACGGGGCCTTATTTTTGAATAGTATAACATGATTCACTTGATTCCTGGAAATATTAGCTAATTACCTCGCTCTTAACACCAAGAACTAAAAATTTAAAAGATTTTTAAAAAAATGTCTAGTCCTAAAATAGAGCATGTATCCAGACTGCAGCCACAGACCACCAATAACCAGTAAATTATGCAGTAAATAAACGATTTTGAGATGGAAAATCAAAGCTGGAAAGTGGTAATGCGAAAAGGTTACCCTTTAAGGAGATTGCGAGGCGCTGCGGAGCGATTTTTCAACGAGGAGAAGAAGAGATTTTTCCAGGATTGCATTTTCCACACTGTCTGAATTTGCAAATGCCCAAAGAGAAAACCTTGGAAACAGGCTTTTGTAATAGAGTAATTCTAAACTCACACACAAAAAGTTTACAAAATTTACAAACTTGCCTTTTTAACACTTTCTTAAAAATAAGATGCACTCAAATTTACAAACTTGCCTTTTTAACTCCGGTTGTTCCCACAAGGATGTGCTTACTGTTCAAATATCACACAATTTTTTGTTTATTTATACATTTTCTTTAATTGCTTGATAAAATAAAGTATTTTGTCATCTATTATTTTGGAAAAGAAAACTCTTGACGTAATTTTTTAATATGTAAATTATATTTTTATTTTATAAGAATTTTTAAATAAAATAAATTGAAAAAATTTGAAATTTCATTTGGTTTTGTGTAATTGATAAAGATTTTGAGATAGGGAGTAAAAGAAAAGCACGTATATCAGCAATTTGTGATTCAAGTAATAGAAATCATCCTAAATAGAACTAAAACATAGAGAAAAGTACCAAAATAGGACTTTCATGTTTTTTTCCCGGAATAAGACTTTGCACTGTGGTAATGTGACTTTGCATTGTGGTAATGTGGCAGTGTGTACATGTGCAAATGACTATACTTTCTTGGTAATGTATATAACCATGTTTGGTAATGTAAGTCCTATTTCGGGAATAAAAACATGAAAGTCCTATTTTGTTATATTTTCAATGTTTTAGTCCTACTTTGGTCTTTCTCCCTTCAAGTAAAGGCATTAACTTATATTTGTTGATAACTTAAGATACATTGTCAATAAATATTTAAAACTAATACTCCAGGGTAGAAAAATTAATGGCATACCTAATATTGAAAAAAATTATAAATAAATTGGTATTTTTATTTCACAAAAATCAAAAGCCGTGCTTTGGTCAAAATTTTTAAAATTTTGAACTTTTTTTCGACCATTTTCTTGAAATAATTTAGAAAATACTTTTTATTTTAAGTTTACTAGTAATTTCAAGCAGATAACTTTAAGACGTCATAAGTTTTATCATTTTAAATTAAAATTTGGCAAGTCCAAAGAACTATCTTCCTCTAAAAAGGTTACTAGGTAGTTTGATTTCAAAGCGTTAAAAAGTACTTCCTTCGCTCCGTTTTAAATCGCCCGTTTTGACTTTGGAGCATATTTAAGGAAGAGAAAAAATAGAGTTGACTTTGCGAAATTGTCATTACTTTTAAGAGAGGTGACGATGAATAAGAAGATAAAGTGGAGAAGAGTAACTTATTTTAGGGGTAGTTTAGATATTTTACTTTTAAAAGTTTACGATAACAAGAAACAAACAACTTATTTTGGGACGGAGAAAAAAAGAAAACAGACAATTTAAAATGGGATAAAGGGAGTAAATTATAAAATTGTGTTTGAAAAAGAGAGAAATGATCTGAGCTACCAACCGGTTTCATATAGGCTTTGTTTGGTAACAACGTTTTCGATTAGTGTTAGCGTTTTTAGTAAAATTTTAACGGTACAGATTAATTCTGAAAACGCTAACGCTAAAGGCTACCGTCGGATAGCTTTTTCAAAATGCTAACGCTAATCTCTGACGCTGATACCAAACGGGGCCAAAAAATGTAGGATGAACCTTTTTCGCAATTCCTATCTAGGAGCTACAAATTTACTCTCTCTGAAATTAGTTTCTCAATTATACATCATTCATCTCTAAATTGCAGCAAAATAATTTATTAAAGTTTGTTTTAAATTAAAAAAAACTTATGGCGCCTTAAATGTATTTGCATAAAAGATTAAGTAGAAAATTTAATAGTAAATAGTATTTTATGAACTATTTCAAGATTTTTTATTACTCCATCCGTCCCAATTTATAGTGTCTATTTCGATTTATTATGTTTGACTGGAATTATTTTCAAATCATTTTATATGACAAATGGTATAAAGTTAATAAATAAAAATTAGATATTAAATTACTACATCAAAAGATCTATAAAACTAGTAGTGACAATAGTATTTTATTTTATCAAATTGCTAATGAAAATTGAGAAAGAACGTGAATAAAGTTTGCTACTGTGAATAATTAACAGACACTATAAATTAGGACGGAGGAAGTATAAAAAAAGCATGAACATTCAACAAATTCTAATTATGACACCACTGATTTTTATCAAATAAAAGCACCAACATATTTTCCCATTAATTTCATGCACATTTTTAATTGTCATTATAGCTTTCAAAATCGAATCATTTCATGCACATTGGTTCATACGTTTACTCGTTGAACTGGTAATTCAAACTAATTTGAAAAGAAATTATATTTATACATGTAATTTAAAATCTTTTATAATACGGAGTATGAAATTTTTCATGTATAATCTACGGAGTACTTAGTAAAAATACAATACTCATGATTTTTTATATTTAAAAACCGTTGCACCATTAGTCCTGAGAGCAGTGGTAGTCCTCTATATTTATAACTTGATTGCTTTTATACACAAATGAATCAATAATATAAATCATAAAAGCAGAAACGAGTAAACTCCCGATATATGTAAATAAATAAAACGGAATTACATATTATTTTTATAAGATGGTGTTATTTGGGATGCTCAATCACGTGGATCACATTGGTTCAATTTACATTATCTTCATATCTATTCAATCTTGGATAAAAACAACGTTTCATTTCGGATTCCAACGCCTAAAAATGATAAACTGCTACTCCGTATTACGTAAATAAATGCAGCCGATCTGTTCGTTTTCCGCAGCTAACACAGAATGCCGGATTTGCACCAAGAAAAGAAATTTCATTGCAAGAATAATAAAAAAAATCAGGTCTTGATTGAAAGACTCAAGCTTTTATTAATGTCAACAAGCTACACATCTTATACTCTAAAACCTGCAAATTAAACAAGTGAAAGATCACAAGATGGAATCGATCTTTTGACAAGCTTAGCCCAAGACTCGTTGGTTTCTGTGATGACCTTCAGGGCGTAGTCCTGCGATTTCAAGGGAAGTATATGCCAGTTGCTAATTACATACTAGGAATTACAAAGGAAAATTAAACCCAACCAAATAGTTGCCCCATTCAAGAATATACCTTGTTTGCTGGCTTATTTCCAAGACCAAACTTGTTAGCAGGTTTTCCATCAGGGATCTTGTAATCTCTAAACCAGTCCCTGATTGCCGTAAGTGTGCCCTGAAAGAAAGGGGGAAATTATTAGGAATTGTTCGATTCAGCTGTTTGTAGCCGTTGGGGCTGCTATTAGGAATTGTTAAGAAATATAGACTTTAAGGGGTTGTTTGTTTCAGCCTCTTAATGGTTCAGATGTCTGAATGGTTCAGCACTTAATGGTTCAGACTGTTTGTTTCAACTTCTTAATGGTTCAGATGTCTGAATGGCTCAGAGATTTGCCTCTGAATGGTTAAGTATTATACAGTGTCTGAATGGTTAAGACCTCTTATCTGAATTGATCAGACATTTGAATAGTTAAGCAATATACTAGCTTTTAATGGTTCAGACCTCTTACTGGTTCAGCACTTAATGGTTCAGACCTCTTAGGGGCTGTTTGGCAACTTCTGAATAGGTAAGTGCTGAACCAGTAAGAGGTCTGAACCATTAAGTGTTGAACCAGTAAGAGGTCTGAACCATTAAGAGCTAGTATATTGCTTAACTATTCAGAGGCAAATGTCTGATCAATTCAGATAAGAGGTCTTAACCATTCAGACTCCGTATAATACTTAACCATTCAGAGGCAAATCTCTTAACAATTCAGACATCTGAACCATTAAGAGGCTGAAACAAACAGTCTAAACCATTAAGGGGCTGTTTGGCAACTTCTGAATGGGTAAGTGCTGAACCAGTAAGAGATCTGAATCATTAAGTGCTGAACCAGTAAGAGGTCTGAACCATTAAGAGCTAGTATATTGCTTAACTATTCAGAGGCAAATGTTTGATCAATTCAGATAACAGCTCTTAACCATTCAGACTCTGTATAATACTTAACCATTCAGAGGCAAATCTCTTAACCATTCAGACATCTAAACCATTAAGAGGCTGAAACAAACAGTCTGAACCATTAAGTGCTGAACCATTCAGACATCTGAACCATTAAGAGGCTGAAACAAACAGCCCCTTACTGGTTCAGCACTTATCTATTCAGAAGATGTCAAACAGCCCCTAAGTGTTTGTTTGAGTTGTTACCGTAGTGATGAAAAATACTGATGATGATATTTTTTAAAGGTTGAGGGAAATTTAGAGAAGGAAAAAAGTAAGTATTTTTTTAAAAAAAGTTGGGATACTTTTGAAAAGGGGGAGTTATTGTAGCTAAAACGCTACACTAACTCCAAAAGCTCCAAAATGGAGCTGCTGGAAAGGAAACGAAGAATGAAACCCGGCCGCACTTCAAACATGGGAAATGAACATGGCCAATTAGGCAATCACTCATTCAACCTAAGAAATTAAGAAAGTTTGAGAAAGTAACATTAGAACTCTTATTGCACAAAAAGGTTATTCATGGTGCCCAAACATACCGGAAAATGTTTCTCAACATCCTCAACATCATTAACAAGTGATGCTCTTGGGTCATCTAGTGAAATTGCCACAATCTTCCAATCAAGTTCTCCCTCATCAATCATTGCTAAAGCAGCTACAGGTTTAACTTTTAGCACCTCGCCAATTTTGCCACGTCTTTCACCAATCTCAACAACATCAACTACACAAAATATTCAAAGAATTATGATTCAGGTACGCCTTGACATTCTTTTTACTATGATAATATGTTGAAAGAGATGGAGGATACCAGGGTCATTGTCTCCAAGGGCTCCCTCAACTTCAGAGTTTGCAAATGAAGGGTCTTCCCACGTTTGAGGAAGCAATCCATAATTCCAATGAATATTGTACCTAACAGAAGAGTGGGACATATTCAAGTTTTGAAACAAAACAGTGCATAATTGCATACTTTTTTTACATCTATTTGAAATGTTCAAGATTTTGGTCAGTGTGGAAGTCTTACGGGTAGTATCTAAGTTTCCCTTTTCTGGTATCTTGTTTGATGGGAGTGTGCTGCTCATCAGTAGCAACCTCCATTTTTGCACTCGATTCTTTTGGGATTTCAACAATGAAATTGAAGACACCATCACCCAAGTGAAGAGGTATATCATGCCATGGAGACACCTACATAGAACGAAAAAGTATGCATCAAGACTGGCAGAAAAAGGAGCATAAAACCTGAAATATGTCAATGATAATGCTGTTGAGCTTGAACTCATTCGTTTAAACAATGTGTCCAACACTCCAACCACTGTTCTTGAGTTAGTTCCTTGACGGTTCCTTCTTTTTATATCTCTTCAACAGATTTTCTCCCAAAGCAGGAAGAACTAATTCAACTAAAAATTAGTGTTGCCTCAAAATGAAAAGAGGACTTCAATTCTAGATACAACTCACAAAGAATCACTAAGGACTACACAGAACGGGAAACCGTAAGTTAGCTCATAATTTCATTTTAGCTTTTTTAAAAAAGAAATTTTCAAATAAGACGCTTTGATCGAGGGATTTATACCTAATATCATAAGTTCGGGGCTTATTTTAATAAGCTTTTCTGATTATTTTTTTCCAGAAACTTAGGAACCTTTACAACATATGAGCTACTAATTAGTTTATCAGCTGATAACAGCTAGCTAATCGCTGGCCTGTTTTGCCAAACCCTTAAAATATCAGACTTCGCAATTCCCATACCTCAAATTTCAGTCCCAAAACAAGGAGACAACAGAAAACATGACGGGAAATCAATTCAAAAGTTGAATCTGGGGAAGAAATTGTAAAATGAAATACAGAACAAATCAGAACACCTTTTTGCCGGAACTGTCAACAAAGAAGACGCGATAATCGAGGGTCTCAGGCTTGCCTTCTTCCTTGATCTGAACTTGGGGCCGGTAGATGGCGCTGCAAGTGAAGAGCCGCCTCTTCAGCGACGGCGCGCGCTTGAGGCAGATATTTAGAGCGGTATGACTTCTGAAAGGGCCTCTGGAAAGTATGGAGGTCGTGATAGTGTTGCTCGCCGATACCATCGCTCTAGCGGCCGCCATTGCAGATTTTTTTTTTTTGCTCAGGAGTACTGTATAATAACGACGGCCGGCGGCCCGACAATCAGCAAGACCCGGTGAGATTGATTGGGTTATGGCCACTCAGATAATACACTGACTAGCCAGTAGCGACTACTGATAGTAGTAATAATTGGACTAATAGGACCGGCACGAGTAGCCCAAGTGGACTAATAGGACCCGCACAATCCTTGAAGAATTACATCGAAACCTGGCAGCAACCGTGTGGGGCAATCATCTCTGAAAAATTGGGGTAGTTTCTGGTGCGCACTGAGATATGGTCTAGCTAAGTGTTGTGCTTGGGTCACCGTGATTTACCTCCTCTCACATTCCCGTCGAGTCGGGGGTGAGGGGCGCCCGGAATGAACGATTTCACCTTTTGGAGAATAATTGGACTAATAGGGTTGAAAATCATGCGCCACAATTTCAAGAAAATAGTATGCACAATTGTATTTAGAGCAATGCTAAGGTGTACCCCATTTGTCCCCCACCCCTTTATCCATCATTCAATTTTATTTTATTTTTATTTATTTAATTTTGTTTTAGTTTCTTGCCTTTTTGTGTGGTGATGGAGGGGGTGGAGGACAAATGGGGTACACCTTTGGTGTACCCCTAGCATTTTTCTTGTATTTATATTACCCCTCCGTCCCTAAATATTTGTCATAATTGTATTCCTGAGGTAAAATGTCAAGCTTTTTCAATTTATTAGTGTAAAAAATATTTTATTTTATCAAATAACCAATGAAAACGTAGAAATAAACAGAAGTTCCTGCAACTGCTGAAAAAGCAAATGTTGTAAACATTTAGGGACGGAGAGAGTATTAAATTATATTGGGATCATTATTCAAGAATACAAATTGATATAATCCGTATAATGGAATATATAATTTTTCATTATTTTAAAGTAAAAAAATTGAATTAATTTCAAATTTAGAAATCACTTTAAATAGGAGTAAAATTTAGAGAAAGTATCAAAAGAGAAGTTCCATATTTTTATTCCCTCAATAAGAGTTTACTGTGGTAATGTGATATTGTACATGAGTATTTTACTATACTTTTTGGTAATGTATACAGTCATGATTGATATTGTAAATGTATTTTAATTTCTATTTCGGGAATAAAAACATGAAACTATTATTTTGGCATATTTTCAGTGGATAACTCTTATTTCAAGCATTACATTTTATTACTTTTAAAACTTCAACATTAAGTTACCCATGAGTGAATACTCATACACTCTTATGATGTATATTACAGAGGAATTGAGATTATTGTCAAATGGTCATTGTGTGGATAAAATCATCCCTTGGCCTCAATTGTGTTGACCCAATACTACAATGTTGTGTTAAACTATCCCCACATGTTAAGAATCTCCACCTTTAAATTTAAAGAGTTAAATTAAGTCATAATAGCAAGAACATAAACACAATAAAAAAGTATGAACTCACTTTTCTTTTAAATTCGTAACCTCCTCTAATTTTTCATTCACTAAAGACATTATAAAATGTAGTAATCAAGACTCGTTCTGAAATATTAAAAAAGACCAATCTTTACTCATTTAAACGTTTGTGTCACACTATTCCAAAATGCTAATGGAACATATAATGCAAACACCATTGTATAGCCTAGATTTCACCATTTGTATCATCAGAATTTGGGGTTTTGATATTTTTTATTAAAACCATCAATCAAACGATCAATATGATCAGAGCACAAAGTATAATTTAGTCGATTCTCTCAAAAAAATTAAAGAAATAATAAATCATTAAATAGAATAAAAAAACCAATGATTACGAGAATCTTGATATTCACATTTTTATGGTCCTCCAATGTAACTTCCATCACCCGCTCTAGAACATATTCTACGATATGGTTTTTTGGTGTAATTCGACTAACAACCTTCCCAATTACATCTGCAAGCACTACTACAAAAACGTGCATATAGACTAGTCCAATTGCATCGGTTCTTAAAAAACAAATGCAAAAGGCTAAAATACGTGTATCGTTTAGACCTTTTGCATCGGTTATTTTAAAAACCGATGCAAAAGGTCATTTAACTTTTTTTAAATTTTTTGGAAGGACCTTTTGCATTGGTTATTTAAATAACTGATGCAAAAAGTCTTTTGTATCAGTTCTTTAAAATAACCGATTCATAAGCTCCTTTAATTTTTTTAGAAGGATCTTTTTGCATCGGTTGTTTCAAAACAACTGATGCAAAAGGTCATGAAGGACCTTTTGCACCAGTTCTTTAAAATAACCGATTCATAAGCTCCAGGTCATTGAGAAGGACCTTATGTAACACCTCAACCCACGTAACCCGAATAAATAGGTTAACGAACTGGGTTGCTACTAGATTGGTATCCACATACAATATTTTTCAAGAAATAAAAACATTTAATTTAACTCAAACAATTTAAATGCATATCGGAGTTTATACAAACGGTGTGGAAGCCTTATAATTTAATCAAACATTATTAAATCCCTGCATTTGTACATCTTCTCCGTCATGCTGCCCTCCAGGATGTATTCCAAGGTCAGCCCCTCCATGATTACCTACATGTAACAAGGGGAAAAAGAGGCTACACGCTCAACAACGAAGCTGAGTGAGAAATATCTAACAGTTCGAACATACACATAGGCGAATCCACTAATTCATAATCATAACATGATATCATACACATAGGCTTGTTGATGGAGTGTTGGACATAGGGGTGGACACGGTACCGGTATGGTACCGTCACCGGCAACGGTACCGCCGGTACCCGCCACCGTCACCGTCACCGTCGTCGTCGCCGTGTCACCGGTTCCGGTACCTATTTTTTGGTACCGGTACCGGAGGTACCGGTCCAGTTCCGGTACCGGTTACATTTTTTTTGTTCATTTCTAATCCGAAGCCAAGCCACCTGCAAAAAGTCAAAAAATAGTGGGGGGCACACCTCAAACGGCTATTTAGCCGTTG